AAACCAATAGATAATTAACAATAACTTAATTAAATGTACTGGATTTACAAACACAAAATTAAAATTCAACAAAGTGGATAAAATACGTAATACTGAGGTGCACACCCTCAGTATGGATGCAAAATTTCAGACGTCTAGGTTCTCTCCCCTTGGAGATATGGGGTCACATATTCTATTCTTTGTGGTTTTTCCATACCTTGCCTCATAAAAAGATGTGCACGTGGATAAGTAATAATACCAAAGTGCACATCCTCAGGGTCCACTTAGTATGTGTGCAAAATTTTAGGTTTCTAGGTTCTTTCCTCATAGACACGCCCTTATGTTATTGTAGACTAGCGAAAGTACCCGGCTTCGCTCGGGATATATTAAGCTGATTTATTTTTGTTTGTTTGGAATTAAGCACAAAGCTACACAATGGACTATCTGTGCTCTGTTCACCAAGGGTATCGAAACCCGGTTTCTAGCGTTGTAAGTCCGCAGACATACTGCTGTGTCACTAGGAGGCAGGTTGATATATTCTAGGTGATTATATCAGTGTGTTTATTCTGAACCTATTGTAGCATAAAAGAACAGTCAAAAATATTTTAAACATTTTTTTTTTACAGAAACATAAAAAAGCCGTAAAGTAAAGTACAGTAAAATAAGAATTATTTATTATCAAAGAACTTTATCATTGCGTTAAATATTTCACATTTATATTTGATATCACAAATTTCTATCACATTTTGTCAGAATCTATTACAATTTTTTATCGTTGCAGTGCTTCAGGTTGGACAATATTGGTTGTTTTCCCAAAGAAATCACAGATAGACATACAGACATGCTCTATAGTAATAATATTATAATTATTATAATATATCAACTTTTAATAAGTAGAAAAGCCAGAGCGTTTTGGTAATAATACGTTCCAACAATGACATTTATATCATGTTGCTTAGCAATAAAATATAACCTAATTTTGTTGTTAAGAGTCTATGTGCTGAAAGTATAAAATGAAATGTACAAACTACAATATTTAAAAAAAAATGTTTGTAGTTTTCTGGAGCTAGGGCGGGCACACATACCCAGACACGCATCTCTGTACGCGCGCGCACACGTCCACACGTGCTTCTACACTCTCTGTCTGTGATTTCTATTTGTAATATAAGGAACCACTTTTCTATATGATTTTTTACTAGTTTGCCTAATTTAAAAGATATACACTTGCACGGACTGGATAAGATAAGTAATAACATCCAGATGCACACCCTCAGGGTCCACTTAGTATGGGTACAAAATTTCAGTTTTCTAGGTTCTTTCCTCTTTGAGTTTTGACGGTCACACACACAGACCTACAGACACGCCCTTTTATTATTATAGATTAGTACTACTAAGTATTGTATACCGTCAATGCGATCCCGTAATTGTTTGATATTATCAAAAAATATTATGTTAGTAAATCGAGTGTGTGTGTGTGTGTGTTATACACTTTAACAATTCCTGCGTACACGTGGTCTTCTTTGTTCGTATGTGTTTTGAATTCTTGGGAACCTTATATATAAATATATGAATTTTGAATTATATCTTAACATTCAAGAATATCGATCGCTGTACCCTTTCAACTAAAAAGATCAACTGCATGCATCTACACGGCATTTAAAATAGTGTAGTGGTCGTTTATCGTAGCATGACTGATGATAACACCACTTATAGTCCTGTAGACACTTCAAGAAGGGGAAAAACTGATTAGAAAGCAGGAAGGGTAATTATGGAATGCACGTCAGTAGATCAAGAAACGTTAAGATTTTCGGATGTACCAGGAATCAATGTTGCTTGGTAATAAAATATTGAATCACTTTAAGTGCAAGGTTTCAAAAGTCTGATCTTAACAAATATACATGCTTAAATCCTTCAAAACATTTTTCTTTTGCTTATATTTGTCTCCATTTAAAGGTAGGACGAATTAACAGTGAGTGTGAGATTATATTTGGTATAACTCGAAACAACTTGATGCAAATAATACTGTAAACAAAACGTAACAAAGAAGGCCGATTTCCAGTTGATATAGTTTTTTTTTATTTGAACAAAATGAATAATGCCTGTCAGATGGGTTTTTATTGTTACTATTTGATTTGTTTCAGTTGAAATAATGTTTGAAAGTATTATACCCAATGACTGATGTTGTAAATGACACAACGGACTATTTATGTCCTTTGACTACAAAGCAATAGCTACAAAACTTAGGTTGTAAATTACGCTATAAGTAAAGCTACGGGATTTTCAATTCAAAGGCTAGTTTTCTCAAACGCATTTTATTATACAGTAGTTACTTGAAATACGAATTGTATTTTAGTCTTGATTGTTCCTATAAGGTGCTCATAAAATCGATTGAAAGAGCGATTACTTCAGGGTCACAAAACTTTACATATCAATTGTCTGTCATTTTGTTTGTCAAGAAACTAGTACTGTAATGTAATATGTCCTAATACTTGTATTAGTAACTTCAGTCATTAATTAACCATGTCGTAACTGGCTCTTCTATTTTATGCGACCTTGTAACCACCATGTAACCATGATGGCATACATACTATAACCCTATAAGCACATAATATACCTTCACGAAATTTGGTAAGTTTTCAGTAAGCATTAAAAGTCTTTTGCAGACAAAAAAATTAGAATTTTCACTAAAAAACACTGTCCGTAATTATATGGAGTCAGAGTGTTGGCTTCTCTAAATGCAAAGTGGTTTTCATGTTATGTGCGCCGGAGCAGGTCCGGCAGACTGGGCAGCAGCCGGACCAACAATTTGTCATAGTAACTGTAGGGCCTTTTAAACTTTTAACTTGCACTTCAAAAATTGTTTCTAAGTAAATAGATAGACTTGTAGTAGTATAGTAGTATGTATGGTTCAGTATAACAATGCAGAATAAATTATATGCGTAATATGCAAGAGTATATGCTTGTGCTTGCTTATAGCAATTGAGTATAAGTATAAATGCCGGTGAGCCCCTATTTTTTGTGAATCATAAAGAAGTCATTGCAAATGATTAATACTTTCAATACATTATAGTAAAATTAGCGCAAAATTTAATCTCAGAGCACCTATTTTTCAAAGTTTTCTTGTTGAAGCATGCCCTCAGACCCCTTTAACACTGGCATACTTTGCACACTATTCTGAGTTGCCTGACCAATCAAAAAATGCTTCTTCCACCCCCTGAAGTTAAGATAAGAATACTTTCCTTCATCTGAAACTTGTCGTATTTCATTTGCGTATTCTTTAGAACCTCCTAAATACGTATAAAATAATTTGGGTTTTTTTTTCAGATAATTTTATATTTTATCTATTATTTTCTCTACCCTAACTCTATATGGGGTCATTCGATTTGACCAACCCCGTAACCACCATAAAAAATTAGGAAATAAATCTAAATTACTCTTTTTTCTTTCTAGAATGACTGTAAATTGTAACAGGAGACCACAATTGCTTATCCTAAATAGCTTAAGTATGATTCTACCACTGAATACGAGTAAACTGTATTGTCTTGGATATAAGTTATATTTCGACGTTTCCTTGCGTTTACTAGAGAACAGAGTGGAGAAAAGCCATATTAACTTGTTCTAGAAATACGGTACTTTTTGGGTATAAAAGTCAAGTTTTGGTATTATAGTTATTATCATTACCAGTATTTTTGGAGTCAAGGATTGTGCGTTTGTTGATAAGCAGAAAGCTACACAATTTGTTATCTCTGCTGTGCCAATCACGGATATCGAAACCAGCTTTTTAGCATCAGTAATCCTGGAGGCTGAGCCAGCGAGGGAGCTGAAATGGAGGAAGCAAGAGCCTGAGACATCACGTCAATTGAACATTGTTTAAATTATTTGATGATTACTTGAGTAACCTGATATTTCAACATGTTAACATTTTTTCAGTCCAAAGTAATAGATCGAGTGGAGAATACATCCTGGCTTATAATACATCCAGCCCTGATTTCAAGCTATGAGTTCAAGTAAACAAAGCAATTAATGAGGTTTTCAACGCCCCTTAATATCTATCTCTTAACGCTTATACTGACCTAACGGTCAGTGATTTTAAAAAAATTAAACACACGCGGATATCTTGAGCATCATCTCAAATAATTTCTTAAAATGTCTCAAATGAACAGTGCTTTTTTCATCTTTATGGCCATCAATTTCAAATCCGTGAATTAATCCTACTTTCGGCCAACTATTACAAATATCAGATCGATGTGGACACTTCTACAGCAGTTTATTAGAGTTATTATAGACCATTATCATGAAACTAAACTCACATAAATAGCTTTTGCTAAACGTCATAGGAAGACTTGAGTTTTTCGAGTATAGTGAAAAACTCCTGTTGGAGCTTCTATCTAAAACGTAAGTATGAAACTCTGAGCTTATATAAAAATAAGGACCATTTGCCCCAAATACATATCATTGCTGGGCACCCGGACACATTTCACATGATTTGCGGAGAGATAACACTCACCTTATGCTTAAAAAAAGTATTTTTTTAGAATACGACTTTGTGGTCAGAAAGAAGTAGCTACTTCGCTTTTACTTTTACCTGTTATTAATTATAAATATTCAACAAACCAGGACTAATAAAAGAGAACCATGGAGTCACAGTTACAAAGCTCATTCTATAATAATTTAAAATCATGTAGAATGAATGACCTTTTATTTGCTTTTAACTTAGATTTTGTCTTTTTTAATATACTTGCATCATGAAGATTTATATCGTCAGAGATTTTTATTACGACATTGTAATTTCAATAAACATCCAAATTTTAAGATTTTGTTATTTGTTTATCATTACACATCTGAAAATATATATGTAATTTGATTTTTTGTAACTTTTATTGATGTGTGGCCTTTTAGTTGAATGGTTTTATTTGAATACGTTGTAATAAAGCTAATAATAAAGAGGGCAGCACGGTCGACATTGAACGCGAAGCCTGCTCTTTGCAACAAACGCGTTAGATCGCCTTTGGGTACAATCTGTGTTATAGACTTCACGCAAAACGGCTTGACTAACGGTAAGCAGTGAAAAGCGATGGGACAAACAAACACTGACACAGTTAGATGATGTTGAAATTATAAAACTAAGGTAAGCAGTAATAATATTAATAATCGGATGTATCAAATACCACAATATGTAAATAATATCAAATAATCTCAGGCGTTCTAATTAGAGGCACGCAAGAGCAGATGTTTTTTGTATGAGTACCTTATAAATCCAGTGTTGGTATTGACAATATTATTTTGTGAACTTTTTCTACTTTGCAGTTTTACTTTAGACGTACGTATTTATATTCAGTATTTCATATTGCTTGTAAATATAATTAGTATTTTGTGTGTGCGTGAAGAAATAAACAGATTGTAAATACATCGTGCTTCTGAGCAAGAAAATAATAACAGTTGATCACATAATTACACCTACATAAGTATTACTATTGCTATTAGTTTCAAACATTACGAAAGGTATATTACGAAAGTTTTTTTTTTATTTTAGAGTATCACAGCATGGAATGGTGCATATTAAACAATTTCAAACAGATTACCTTTTGTTCTTAAGTGTAAAAAAGTTATTATTCAAACCAAAGGTTTAAACTAGGCTTAAACTTTTGAATGCACGTTTTTTAATATGATAGTGACGTATTATGTATGTACGTGTGGTGATATGGTTTTTATATATATATTATATATCAAACCAAAGTACATACATGTATGACGTACCTTGGGACCATGTGCAGGAATATTAATTTGACCGCTATTGGGGTAAGGGTACGTTAAATTTAAATTCTTGGAAATGACCCTCTGGGATGTCATACATGTAACAAAAATAGTGGCAGGACTTCAGCGATATATAGATGTATGACACACCATTGATTTATCCCCATTTATTTGGAAAATAAACTGCAATAGTTTAGTGACTTTTGGGTCTACTGATGATTTATTTGTTTAATTACTTAATGCTATTTCGTGGCGTATTGTGTATTATTAATAATGGTGTATTAGTAAGAAAACAGTAGTGCATCATATGCTGGTACTCTTTATTTGATCTATACGTGGCTCTTTCGCTATAGTGCGTTATTTATATTTCTGTAATATTGTCAGTTAGATGTTTAAATGGCTGCCACGGTTTAATTCCAGCCATATTTTGTTTCTTTTTCTGTTGATAACATTATATAAAACAACACTATACTAGTATGCCAAGCTCTCTTTTTGAGCCCGTTTATCTTTTATATTGTATATATTTTACGTGTTTAGCATTTTATGGCGTATTTAGTACCTGCATAACCTGTTGATTTATAAAATGTAGTACGTAGAAATTCCATCATGGGTGAGAACACCGGATATGTAAAACCTGTTAAGTGTCACCACTTTTAATGCAGAACGTATTGAAATACATCTAGTTATTACTCGTTTCTCCAGAAAGCAAAAGTTTTTCAACTTCTTCTACATATTAAATATACGAGACACGAGATGCACAGCACGTGTCAGTTATCGATAGTTGAACGGAATGTGCGTGGGTTATTTTCGTGAAACTTCTTGAGGTTATGCAAGGTTTGGCTAATAACGTAGTTGCAAATTAAACGATTTCATCTTATTACATTGCCTTGATGATGAAGTATCTCCACAGACATAGATTGACGTCCTGATTAACTCGACCAACCTTCTACCCCCACTGCTACAGGCTTTTCCATTTAACGGCATTGTTTTGAACTACAACTGTTCACTTCATTATATAACTTCAATTGTCGCTGAACACGTGCAGGGCACGCACATATGCACGTTTCCTTGCCTCCACTCCCACATTAAAAAGCTCATTTTGTTTGTGTTGAAAGGTTTATTGTGCTCTTTCCATGATGTCATGAAAAGATGCATGTTTAATACTTGTACGCATCAGCACGATGATTCTTAGAAAAGTTAATTTCTAGTGTTAGCAGTTTATTAACATATTGAACATAATCACCTTGTACCGGACATTTTAAAGTTTCTCTAGTGAATATAACTCTTTTTTTTTTCAATCTTTAAGAATATCTTCTATGTTACTTTCATGGATGTGCTAATAGGAAATCATGCAGGGTCAAACATTATGTGGGCCACGAAATGATAAACAGGATAACCAAAAAACTTTCGCAAGGTATAAATCAGAATTAGAAGGGTCTACCATGCTGTATTTCATTTGCATTCTATATTAAAGTACTTCTGCTGAAGCACGAGCTCTATGGTTGTTTGGTTACAATTTTGGTACTCTACAGTTATTTTAAAGTACTTCTGCTGAAGCACGGGCTCTATGGTTGTTTGGTTACAGTTTTGGTACTCTACAGTTATTTTAAAGTACTTCTGCTGAAGCACGGGCTCTATGGTTGTTTGGTTACAGTTTTGGTACTCTACAGTTATTTTAAAGTACTTCTGCTGAAGCACGGGCTCTATGGTTGTTTGGTTACAGTTTTGGTACTCTACAGTTATTCTCATGTGATTTTTAGTAATAGATTTAATAAAACAGTTTTCTGTTATGTTGTTGTTGCATTCTGTTTAAAAAAGTTTTTTTTTTAACAAAGTGTCAACTTGTCTCCATTCGTTTTAGCAGCATACTTAGAAGGAAGTCAAGGCGATTGAAGCTAATATTAAGGCAATAAGAACGAGATTCCAGTTGGATTTATACAAAAGTAGGATACCGAACTAATAATCTATAAGTAAAGCATGTGCAGAAGAACTATGAATAGCTTGATCTGAGGTATTTTAAAAATAGATTAATCTGATTATCAGCATTAGGGCACATTTTCTAACATAGGTATATAAAATGCATACCTTTTGGTCCAGCATCTTATAATAGTTAAATAACACTTAATCGTTAGTTTGTTGGGTTTTGTTTTTCTTTTCACACATTATAGATTTATTACTTAAAACAACCAAGAGAAGGATATGCGTAAATCATGTCGGTCATATACATCTGTTTGTAAGTGTCTTTGTAGAAGGATGGTTAAGACCCGGATGATTACAAAGATAATGTAAATACATCTTTCAGTTTCGAGGATTAAATATTATCGATGCGACGCATTGCATTTTATTATAGTTTTCTAAAATCTTTATTTATTTTTATAAACGAAAACAGGGAAACGACAATTTATAAATTGTAGTTTTTTGTTTTTTCACTTTGATATTTTATAAATGGCGGATTAGCCGTTCATACTATTATAGGTAAATGTGTGTAATGTCTTTAGCCATACAAGTATATAGAACGCGTGTGTGTGTTTGTGTATATAATACATGTATGTACTTATATATATAAGCTTAACGAAAACTCATTAACGCCTCACCAGATTTTAACGAAATTTGAGACATACAATCTTCACCGTTCACGACATTGATGAATGAGTGTTGTTCAGTTGTTGGAATTATGTGTAATTACTTTATTGTGTGATGACAATGGCCATCCTTAGAAACAATAAATATTAGAAAAATAATACATTTCCCCTATTGTCTTTTTTTATTATTAACTTTCCTTATTGGTCTTATTATTTTTCTAAGAAACTTATATATTTATATCACATGTAGGGAATGTTTTTAGTAACCCATCTATTTAACACTAACACAAAGAATATTTTCAGTGTTATATAGTGACTACCAATTGACTCTGTTGCGACTTTATTACCACGTAGCTGTTACTCGATTCATTTTTTCACTTACTATTATTTAGTCTAATTTATCTGCGCGTGTCTCTATATGTAGAAGACCATGTTATGTTTCTTTCTTACGAATCCAATTTTACTTTAAAAAAATATAATTTTATGTAAATAAATACCATAAAAATGTATGTGACGTAATAAATTGTAATAGTAGTAATTTTAATAAATCTATTTAATGATGTCGACTGAAGCTCTGTCTCTGAAATAGGTCTTTAATCTACCTGTATCTAAGTTATAAGAACATAGTGATAAAATTTTTGTTAGATGATGAAAGGTCTTGTATCCTGAATAAGATTTTAGATAATGCAAAATTAAAATATTTATCTTCTAGGGCGTATAAACGGAAATAAGATGGAGTATATCACGTTTATTTATTAGTACATGTACAGTATACAAAACTTAAATCACTTCCAAAAGCAAAGTTCATGTAGAAATACCTTGTAACAATTTACATCATAAAAAATTAAGAGAAATTAAATAAATGCCGATAGACACAGTAAGATAGATATGGCATATTTTCCTGTAGGAACAATTAAGAACGGCACTTCTTTTTTTTAATAAATACGTTTTTTTTTCTGTTTATCCCGTATTTTTAAGCAATTATTTTATACAGCCATAATGCCGTTTTTTTAGAATGTTACTATAGAGCGGTAAAACCGAACAGTAACTTTCTTTTCATCCAGTGCCACAATTTAGGGTTAGCGATGAGACTTAAAATCATTTAGGATGTTCAGTTTTTACTTATGAAATTTAGATGACAACTATTATTCCTTTCTGTAAATGTTAAAAACTAACGATGGGGTTGGAAAATCTTGGGTATCAAACAATACATTAGCTATAAAGCTGCCTGGAATTATTGATCTTTAATTCAACAACACCCTGATCATTGCGTGATTTCGGCAGTTAAGTACATGTAAATAAGAACATGCGATAACATTTTACGATTCGTAAGCCAGACATTGAACGGACGCCACTAATATCCAGGCAGATGTTCCCAGTGACACCTTTTGTAGGCATGCATGCGGTATCTTTAGGGCATAAAACTTGTTACAATATTTTTTTCAGTTATAAAGATACATTCAGTTCTTAAACCTTTCCTTTACTTCAGCCAGAATGCTCAAAGAAGACACTCGCCAAGCAAGTCTTCCTCATAGAGAAAAATAGTAAAAATAGCGGCGAGAGATCTGTCAACCAATTTGAGCTTTTTTCTACCTGCTTAGTTCTGTGAGGTGTTTCAAAACATTAGTGGGAAGAGATCTGTCAACCATAGAATCCTCTGGGCAAATTTCGTCTGTTCCGTTTCTTGGGAAATTTCAAACAAAAATTAATGTTATTCGTAAGGAACACTATTATGGAATCCCAGTATAGATAAAACTGACAGATATCGTCGTATTTCAAGAACAATGTACAC